TATCCATCCCAAAAGTTGTGGTCTTTGATCTTCATCAGTAAATATTTTAAGTCCTCTTTCCTTTCAGCAAGCAAGGTTGTATCATCTGCATATCACAGCTTGTGAATTCTTCCTCCAATCCAGATGCCACATGCTTCTTCATATAATCCAGCTTCTTGGTTTCTTTTCTCCCTGTCTATTAACTTCTCTGATATCCTTAGAAGACCTCAGGACTGCCAGAGGCAAGCATCCTCTTAAACCAAGGCATCTTTGGTTCTGTTAAATGCCATCCACCTGCGTTTAATGCTGCCACATCCTTCCTGGCTTCCCTGTCAGATAGCAGCTCTAATCTCTGCAGGCAATAGTACTACCAATGTCAAGAACTTCCTGGAATGTTCTAGTCACTAATCACTGGTGAGGGTCTCTGAGTCAGCAGGAAGCAAACAAATGACAATGAAAGTAGGAGGAAAGTAGGAACCAGCCACTTAGGTATTTCGTTTTACCCCAATTTGGGAAATTGGGGCTTTTCTTATCTGGAAGCCTCCTAGACAAGAATGGGTATGTGTGTGTGTGTGTGAGAAAGAGAGAGAGATACAAAGAGAAACATAAGAACAGGGAGCAAAAGGAAAAGAACAGGGCAGGCATGGGCCCTAGGCAGGGAGTAGCATTTAGTCCTGACGTTCTTAGCGCTGATTCAACAGTACATAGACAAGGAAGGCATGAGCAACCTGACTCTTCCCACCAGCCACCTTTATCCTGAAGTTAGCAGACTCTAGCCAGCTGTCATTTACTTTTCCTAAGTCCTGAGCAAGCAAGAGATGTCTGACTAGTAAGACACAATTTGGAAACAAGGAACAGAAAGGATGACCCATCTGTCCATAAAAGAATAGGCAACATCAGCTTAACAGTTAGCCTTGGAGACTTAAAGGTGTTGTCTATGTCCAAGAATTAATCAAGAGTTCTCCAAGAAGTGAGTGTTCAGCCACCCTGTTCCTAGAGTATTTCCAGGCTGGGTAGTGTCCCCTAGGATTCTGGGATAGCAAAGGGAAAAAGAGATGAAATATGAGTGAAGTAAATTGACCTCATCCTTGTTGAGTAAGGTCCTCAGCTGATGGAAACCTAGCAGTGCCCGTGGAGTTACCAAGAGGGGAGCACGAGGAGTCCTTTGTCAGGATCCTAATGAAGCTTCAACCTAACCTACACGACTCCGTACTCCTGAAATAAAACCACACTCCAGGGATGTTCAGGGGAGACAGACTGTTTATTTTGGCCAATAGATCCAAGCAATAAGACAAACTGCACAAGATATTCACCCTGCTCCAAGAAGCAGATCTACCACAGCAGATAGGATCATCAAGTTCCTCTCCCACCACCCTTTCCAATCACCACATCATACATAAAACCTAGAAAGTGCATAAGTAGTTGGGCTTTCCCCTCCAAGTGCAAAAAGAACAAGAAGAACATTCCAGAATATGCTGTTGGTGAATTAACTCAAAACAGTGAGAAATGATTATAACCACCCCCACCCCCCAAATGTAACTTTTGGGATGGGTGTTGTGAAATGGTTTATATTTGTATATATAATATAGCTGTATCTATATATATAGATTATGTACAAATGCAACAGCAAGCTTCTATAAAGGAAGACTTCAGCAAGAGCCAGAAAATATTTTAAGACATAGGCTATCTATCATTAAGACATAACTAGGAAGGAAAATTTCTTGATTCATCACCCATTTCAAGTTGTACCAAGTCATTCTCATGACCTGAAACTATCCTTTTGGACTTGGCCAATGTTCTCAATTGTCCATTTGCTTAACTTCGTAAATAGTTACCAGCCCGGTCTCCCCCAAAAAGACTTGCAAGGAGAAAAATGGATCCAATCAGGTTTTCCTTTTTGTTAAATGCCGTCAAATCAGTTCCAACTCATAGTGACCCTGCATAGGGTTTCCAAGGAGTGGCTGGTGAGTTTGAACCGCCAACCTTGCCATCCAAACCAACCATGCATGCAGTCCAGTGCTCATGCTACATCGCCACACTAGGACACCTTTTGATAAATTGGGATAGCTGTGATTAGTCCATAGCTAGGAGCTCTGGTAGCGTAGTGGTTACGAATCGGGCCGCAAACCTTAAGGTCAGCGGTTTGAAACTACCAGCCGCTCCGCGGGAGAAAGATGAGGCTTTCTACTCCCGTAAAGATTTACACCCTCGGAAACCCTGTACAGGGTCGCTATGGGTCGGAACTGACTCTACGGCACTTAACAACAAGGGGCAGATATCTATTTCCAAAGCCAGTTCCAAGGCACCTCAAGGCATTTCAGTCCTAAAAAAATTGTGCTTTGTTCTTAAGCTAAATCCCATAGTTGGCCAGCCCATCTCTCTATACAGTGGCCCTTAAGTAGGAGGAAGAGACAGATAAGAGGTTCTGAGAGAGCAGAAGAGGGAGGGGTATTGAGAAGCCCAGCAGACTGAATTTTTCAGAGTGCAGATGTAGGAACATGCAGCCAGAAGTGGGGCTCGAGCCCCACTATGCAGGAAAAGGAACGGCTTGCTGGCATACTCTAGAAAGCAAGGTAGAGAAATGGCTGCTATGGAAACCTCTCACCCGTTTCCCACTTCTTTTTACAGAAGCCCTGATTTGTCTCAACCTCACTACCCTGTGAGAGGCAGCTCCAGGAGCCCTCTTGGGGAGATTGTAAGAGGCTGGAGGAGAAAGTGCATATGAAGGTGGCACCTGGGTGGTTCATGATCCATCCCCATCTGCTTGGGAACCTGAGGGCATGGAGAAACATGGCTTTTCTTAGGCTTCCCTTGGTCAGGGCAAAGAAGGAAAAGAATGCAGAAGTCTTGGGCTTCTTTATGGTGAGTTGGGACTTCAAATGAACTTAAGGAATCTTGCAAATAACTCCTCTAAAGACAAAAGTCCTAACATCAGTGTAGATCCTCACTCATCCTGGGAGAGGAGGACACTTACAAGGTTACCAAAAATGCAATCTACAAGCTGCAGAAATGTATACAACTACTCTTGGTGTCAGCTGACATGAGATGTCCCACCCAGCTCTCCCCTCTCAGTTGGTTAACTGGAAGGCTGAGTGGCATCCACCTGCTCCAGGTATCTTGGCAGTGTGTTGATTGGCAGTTAGGTTCTGAGCCAATGAATTTAGAATTTCTGGACAGGCTGGATTCCCCTCACCCAAGAGCTCTCTCGCTGCTCACCCATCCTCTGTGTACCCTTGGCCTGGCCTCTGCACTCTCCTAACTTCTTTATTTTCCTTCTTGCTTCCCTTCCTACCCTCCCCATGGCCCATACTCTGGAATTCCTTCCTTATTCCCCAACTCCAGCCTTACAAGCAATGGCTGCAGAGGTGGAATTAGATGCACCAAAAATTAATCTTGGTCCTCAGAGTGCTGACCTGCCAGTTCCCAACTCGGTTATGGCTTTATGTGCATCCCCAGCACCCATCTCATGCCTGGCACATATTAGATGCTCAATAAATGGGCAATTGAATCAAAGTGAGTTAAACAGAAACTGTCTTGTGCTACTGCTCCCTCCCCAAATTGACTATCTGATGAGCCTAGGCCAGGAGAGGTCCCTGAGACTATCACAGTTCTGTCTCCACTCTCTGACCCCAGCCTTACTTCCTGCCCTAGGCACTCACTCCCTGAGTCCGGAGTGGGGACTAGTTCACCTGGAAAGCCTGGAAGTGCAGAAGAGGCTCAACCTGGGGAGTGAATGGGGGGGTGGGGTGGGATTGCCAGCAACTCTGCCTTCTCACCTCCATCACTCCACCCTGCCTCAGGCATTCCTTGGCTCCTGGGAAAAGTCCACTTCCTTCACCTGGACTCCCTCAATGACCAACCCAGAAAGGCCCCTCTTACTAGACAAACCATGGTTCTGTTGATTCAAACTGGAGACAGAGAAGCCAGAGAAGACAATGGCAGGAACTTCAGATTCTGTCAGTTTGAGACTCAGTGTCCCCATCTAACATGAGTGGCTTGGCTAATAGATATCTGAGGGTCTTTCAAGGTAGTGTTCTCTGAGTCAGCATTTTGTCTCAGCTCTTTCTTGTCTCTCTCCCTCTCTCTCAGCTTAAGTAATTCCCCTTTAATGTGGGTAAAATGGCAGTGAAAGTTGGCTCCCCACAAATCTTACTTTCTTCTCCACAAAGGCAGTTGTTGAGGCAGGGGAGGGTGTAACAACTCCAGAGGTAACATTACCTCAGCATCTAAGAGGCTCCAAGTTTGCCCCTCACTCTTCCCTCAGGGTGTTACCTGGTCTTTAGCTAAAAACCCTTCTGAGGACAAGTGCAAAAGTTCACACTGAACTCCAACATGCAGCTCCCTCAGCTGTGCACAGTAACTCCCCTGCCCATGGTTTCTATTCCCCTCCTCATTTCTGTGTCTTTTCTGCCCCTTCCCAAGCTGAAAGTGGCCATTTTGTTTGAGGAGACAATCGGAAGAAAACTACATCTTACAATGGAGGCTTCATTTCTTTAGTTCCTCAGCTGACCTTGACATAAATCTCCTATTGGTAGGGAACTGTGGTAGAAAATGACCATTACCTGATATAACACAATCTACCCACAGCCCACCTTAGCTGCTCTTCCAGTACTGGTTGCACTAAAAATCCCATGGGATTCGTGGTCAGTGGAAAAGCAAAAGGTTTCTGTGGTAGCGGCTATCAATGGAAAGGAAGGTCAGAGCAGAACTCCAGAGACCCAGGCATGTCTACAATTTTGTTTTCAGTTCCGAATTTCCTTCAATGCCCTGGAAATTCAAAGTACTCCCTTTAGTATGTGGCCCTACTCCAAATTATAGGAACTACCACCATGCCCAGCCTGGTGGGAGCAGCTGAAGAAACAGCCTCCTATCACCAGGGGCCTTCCTGAGGCAGCTCAGGTCAGCACATGGGGCCCCCACGCTCCGTCCTTTCTGAAGCCACACCTAGAGGAGTCCAAGCACTGGGCAGGCCAAGCCTCTGATCCCTTCCTTCCCCACTTCCACCCTCATCCTTTCTCTTTGGGGCCCTCACACATACCCCCTGCCTCCTCTCAGGGACTAGCAGGTTGGAGCTTCCTTACCCCAGGGCCCACACATCCCATAGGTCATGGCAGGTTTCTCAGATGAAGGAGAGGTGGGTCACTCTTGGTGCAGGGTTGGGGGTAAGAAGTGAGGGGCTCAGAAGCCCAAGGTCAGCACTGGGATCCTGGATCAAGAGAAGCACACCAAGAGAGGACAGGCGGGGTCACACTGTACAGGGCAGAGTCGAAGGGAGACAGGACACAGGGAAGGGCGGCCTGCTGGGGTCGCCAGCCTGTTACTTGGTGACATCGTCCGCGTTGCCCTCGCCATCCGTCTTGCCCTCCTCCTCGGTCTTCAAGTCTTGAGCACTCAGTTTCTGCTCTTTTTTCCTCCGCACGCACTTGACTACCATCAGCACCAAGATGACCACAGCCAGGAAGCCCCCCACCGAGGCACCCACAATCACTGCCACCGTGGAATCCCGTTCAGGAGGTTCTGGAGAAGGAAAGGAAACGGAGTTCCTGAACACTAGGCCTGCACAAGGGGTCTCCTCCACTATCTCCCCATTGCTGTTTTTAAGTGCCGTTGAGTAGGGTTCCAATCCATAGCAACCCTATATAGGGTTTCCGAGGAGCTATTGGTGGATTTGAACAGCCGATCTTGCAGTTTGAACCGACCTTTCCGTCCAGTGCTCATCCTACAGTGCCACACCAAGACTCAGAGGCCAACGCAAGGCCATCTCCTCCACAGTCTTCCATGGTGATGGTGGTTATGTGATTTGGAGTCGGAAGCGACTCATAGTGACCCTGTACAGGTTTTCCGAGGCTATGGATCTTTACGGGAGCAGAAAGCCTCATCATTCTCCCGGCCGAGCAGCTGGTAGTTTTGAACTGCTGACCTTCAGGTTCGCAGCCCAATTCGTAACCACTACGCTACCAGAGCACCTTACTGTCTCCCATATTCCCATGTAATATGTGGGGTGGTGCTGACTTTAGTCCCCTCCATGGAAGGAACTTTGAGTCCTGGCGTGGCGCTGTGGAATATTGCACTGGACAGAAAACTCGGTTTGAACCTCAAGTCGATGGTTCGAGTTCACCAGCCGCCTCTCAGAAACCCTATACAGGGTTGCTATAGGTTGGAACCCAACTCTATGGCACTTAACAGCAACAACAACAACAACATGGAAGGGACTTTAGTGAAAACCAAAAGTCAACCCAGGAGTTTGATCTCTAAATGCCCTGGTCCTCTGTTAAAAAAAAAAAAAATCCCAGGGCACTAATAAGAGGGAGTGTAGTGGAATATTTAAGCGAATAGACTTGAAGATCAAATTGACCTACATTTCTGTCCTGATTGTACTAGTTACTTACTCATTGTGTGACCTTGGGTAGCTAACTTTTCATCTCTACACCTCAGTTTCCTCCTCTGTTAGACAGAAATGATAATAGTACCTCTCTCAAAGTTTTTATAAGGATAAAGTGAGATAATGCATTTAGCCCTTTGCCTGCGATATAGCATTGTTGTTGTTGTTAAGTGCCCTTGATTCCGACCCATAGCTACCCTGTTTCCAAGGAGCAGCTGGTGAACTTGAACCACCGATCTTGCAGTTCAAACGACTTTGCAGTCTGATGCATTAGCCCACAGCGTCACACTGCCGTCAAGTCGCTTCCCAGTTCAGGGCAACTCCATGCACAAGGGAGTAAAACTTTGCCTTGTCCTGAGCCATCCCCATGAGTGGTTGCAGATTGCACCACTGTGATCCACACGTTCTGATAGACTGATGTTCGTAAAAGTAGATTGCCAAATGTTTGTTCCTAGTCTGTCTTAGTCTGGAAGTACCTCCACTGACAGCTGGTGGTAGCAGTATATGAGGTACACCTGGCTGGGACTCAAACCTGGGTCTTCTGCATGGAGGGTAAGAATTCCACCAGTGAGATCATCAATGCTTCAATAGAGACATATGAGTCTAAGTGCCCAGGAAGTTCAAGTTGCTATTATCATTAAGATCCTGAACTTTATCATTTTAAGTACTCACTGAGACCATTTCCAGGTCCCCAGGAACTGGAGGGAATCACATAGATGCTTCCACCAAGCACAAACAGCTTTTGTTCCCACCCCTCAGATGGGCACAGTCTCCCCAAAGGTGCCCTGAGTGAATTATGCTGGAGAGTGGCTGAGTGGAAATGTCCAGGGCCTCCAGTAGCATGGCTCCCTCGCCCCTCGTTTCTGCTCACCTTCCATGAGGACCTGCAGAGAGATCTTGCCGTGGCCACGGTGGCGGTCAGGCGGGTTCATGATGTAGCAGTTGTAGATGCCCGCATCCTCAAGCTGCACATTTTTCAGCGTCACGGACACATCGTACTTGCTGGGGTTCCCTGAGAACTCCACACGGTCTCGAAATTGCTCTGGCTTCAGGTTAATGATCTTCATGCGGAACTGGAGGAACTAGGGGGTGGAGAAAAGGACAGGACATGTTGGGCAGCTGGGTAAGCAAGAGCTGCCAGAGCAGTGGGGATGCTTCCTCCTCCCACCCCCTCCTCAGTGCCATCCCTTTACCTGGGAACGGTGGTACTTACCTCCAAAGGTCAGCCTCCTCCACCCCAGCCCAGGGCCACTCCATTGTGGCACCTCACCTTCTCCCAAAGTCCTCTGGAGCAGACAAGACACCCAGAACACTCTGAGTTTCTGGCCAGTGCAGGGACAGGGGGTGGATAAGTGGGCTTTCATGCTGTCTCCTGCCCAACTCCAGGACTTACCATCTCCTCAGAGCAGTTACTACACTCCTGGTAAGTCCAGTTCAAGGAGAACTGCTTGTGGTTTACTGTGTAGCAGGAGCTGAAGGTGCAGGGCAGGCGAGCATCAGAGCCATTGAGGACATTGAGAGTGGAGGGTACCATGACCTCCATGCTCCGGCCCGGTGGCACTGCAGACAAAGACACAGCTGGTCAGGCTTCTGTACCCAGTGGGGAACAGAGGCATGAAGCTGGGCAGTAGGTTAGGTCCCATACCACTGAAATTACTGAGGAGATGGGGCTGTGAGCAAAGCTCATAAGGGGCAGTACATGTGACCGTGGGGTAAAAAGAAGGATAGAGCAAGGTTAGGGATGGAGCAAGAGCAAATCATCTGTCTAGCCAGAAATAGACAAATGACCCCCAACATTTTCTAAAACCACTGCTGGCAACCATTCCACCCTCAACCTGGCTGCCTCTCCCTACTCCTGAGACTGCCACTTGCTAGCTGAAAACAGGAGCTGCCCTGCCCTGGGCTTCAATTTTTCCCTTCTTCTCCACCACTTCCAATGATCTCTGCTAAACCTAAGCAGCCCTCCATACCACAGAGCCACAGCAAAGCAAAGTGCCCTGCTCAGTCCCCTTGCCTTCCCTGGGCTTCTGCAAGGTAAGGAAGAGGGCATCGGGAACAGCAGGTGGGAGGAGATGACCCAGAAAAAGAGGCACAGCCCCAAGGGCCAACCAATGGGTCTACAGGCATAAGAGTCCTTCTTGGAGCTATCAGACCTGATGGGACAGCAGGGTTGGAGCCACAGGCTTCTGCGGAGACCTGAGGCTGAGAAAGGTCTGTCACGCACTGATATTTTAAGCAGGACCAGGACCATGATGAGGCAAGTGAGGTGCCAGAGGTGCCAAACTTCAGGAGGCGCCCACTCTGAGTCGTGCAAGTGTCTCCTCTGGCTGACCTGAAAGGAGTTGGGGGAGGGACTAGGTGGGAGGGTGGGACAAGTGAAGGTGGGAGTCAAGCGAGGAGGCTCTTGCACAGTCTGGGAGAGAATTACAGCTGCTGATATGGAAATAGCATACAAGCAAGAAGAAATTTGGATTCAATCCCAGCTCTGCCTTCAGTCAGCTAGGAGAACCTGGCCATGCTTTTTTCACCTCTGTGAGACACCTACCTCCCAGAACTGTTCCGATAATTATATAAACTCATACACATATAGGACTACGCAGTCTCTGCCTGGCAGGAACTGCTCAGCAAATGCTAGCTGCCGCTCGGCTCAAAGTCTCCTCTCAAGTTCTGCCTAACAAACAGGACGGACTTCAGGTGGTATCTCCTTGCTCAAGAGTACCCTGGAGACTGACCCAACAAGGCCAAACCCACTGTGGCTCGTGGCGACCCCACGTGTTACAGAGGAGAAATGTTCCATAGGATTTTCCTGGCCTGAGAACGGGAAGGTAAGCAGTTTGAAACTACCAGCTGTTCCACAGGAGAAAGATGAGGCTTTCTGCTCCCGTAAAGATGTACAGCCTCAGAAACCCTGTATAGGGTCGCTATGAGTCAGAACTGACTCCATGGCACATAACAACAACAACAATCTTTACAAATGGACTCCTGGTGTGGCACTGTAGGCTTAGCACTGGACTTTGAATCACAAGGTGGGCAGTTCAAACCCACCAGCTTCTCCTCAGAAACCCTATACAGAGTCGCTATGAGTCGGAACCAACTCCATGGCACTAACAACAACAACAATCTTTACAAAAGCAGTTGCTAACAACTTTCTTCCACCACAGTACTGGGTGGATTCAAATCTCAAATCTTCAGGTTAATGTTGTTGTTAAGTGCCATCAAGTCGGTTCCGACCCATAGCAACCCTGTATAGGGTTTCCGAGGAGCAGCTGGTGAGCTTGAACCGCTGAACTTGCAGTTCAAATGTCTTTGCAGTCTGGCGCATTAACCCACAGCGCATCAAGTGCAAACCATTTGTCTCAGAACGCCTCTTAGGCAGCCCCTAGACAAAGGCACTGGGGTGGGGGTGGGGGAGGGTGAAGGAGGGGAGGCCGGTTGAGGGGAGAAGGAGGGGTATATACATGGCCTTCATTTTCCAAATTGTTTATGGACAGAAGTTGCTGGGCAGTGTCTAGAAGCACCTAGACTGCATTCCAGAAGCAGGGGAATTCAGCCTCTCCCCTGGGACTTGAGACCAGGGAAACTCGCAGGACTGGAGAACAGGAGATGTTCTGAACTGCTAGCTCCAGACATCACGAGGAGCCCTAGAGAAAGGGACCCCACATGCAAGACCAAGGATTCTAGAGGTACACTGAAGTACCCTCTAGGGAACTAGGATCTGGGGACCTGAGTGAGCCCACCAGAAAGAACTTGTATATCCATCATGAAAACACTCAACACAGGGCCAGGCAAGGAGGAGGTGAGCAGAAACACTAGCATCACCCCCACAATGCAGAGGCTGAGAAATCTGCAGGGGAGGCGCCTGGCAAGGGCTTGTCCTGAGCTCACCTCATACCTCAGAACTGCCCTGTTTCTCTATGTCCTTTCACTGTAGGGCCTGCCTTCCCTGGAACTGTCTTCCTAAAGCAGCCTCCAAGTGTTCTCTGCATCCTGGTTGACCCTGTGAATTCACACCCATCCCTGACCCCGGCAGCTCTCAGGAGTCAACTCAATTGAACCCCATGGGTAGTCTCCCACCTCTGGCATCTTGAAGGTGCCAGGGGTAGAAGGACAGAACCGTGGCTAGCGAGGGGCTACGCCTCATCTAACATCCTGCAGACAGCATACGCTTTCAACGCGGGCTTCTTCCATAAGCAGTGCAGGCTTGCATGGAGCACCAGGCAGAACACATGTGCCCTCTAGTGGGCAGAAAGATCAAACGCAAGTCCCAGCTTCTAGGAGCCGAACATGCGGAGTCTCCAAATCAGAGGAAGCCAGAGTTGGCAGGGGACTCAGAATTGTGGATCTGTCCCCATGGTTTTACCAGAGGAAACGAGGCCTCAAGAGGAGCGTGGAGAATAGGGACAAGCTGGGGCAAGAACCATGCATTCCTGAGTCCTAATCCAGGGTACCCACTTCAGCAGAAGATCTCAACCGCTTCATCGCAGAGACTCAATCTCTGAAGGGCCTCAGATGCCTTCCACCAGGCCCATCCAGCCTTTCGTTGTGTCTTTACAGAAGAGGAAACCAGTTTAGCAAGGTCAGATGACTTGCTGGCAACCTCAGAGCTGTGAGCCCAATCCTGGTCCTTTGATTGACTCCGTTGCTTTAAGAAACAGGGACCACAGAAAGGATTTCTTAGTAGCAACAAATTCGTACAACTTACTTAGTATGTACCAGGCACTGTTTAAGCTCTCTACATGTATTAACTCATTGAATACTCATGACCAGTAAAGCCAGTTGCCATAGAATTGACTTGGACTTACAGTGATCCCACATGTAATGTCAGAGTAGAGTTATGTTCCATATGATTTTCAATGGCTAATTTGTTGGAAGGAGATCATCAAACCTTCTTTCAAGGTGCCTCAGAGTGGACTCAAACCGTCAGACTTTTAACTAGTAGCCAAGTGCATTAACTGTTGTTGTTGTTAAGTGTGGTCGAGTTGATTCCGACCTATAGTGACCCTGTATAGGGTTTCCAAGGAGCAGCTGGTGAGCATGAACTGCCAACCTTGCAGTTCAAATAGCTTTGCAGTGCCACACCACTGTTGTTGTTGTTGTTGTTGTTAAGAGTCGATTCTGACCCATAGTGACCCTGTATAAGGTTTCCAAGGAGCAGCTGGTGAGCTTGAACCACTGACCTTGCAGTTCAAATGACTTTGCACTTTTACACATTAGCCCACAGCGCCACACCACTGTATCACTCCCCAAATCAAACCAAACCCAGAGCAACTAATTCCAACTCAAAGTGACTCTAAAGGACAGAGTAGAACTGCTCCCTAGAGTTTCCAAGGCTGCACCCTGGGACTTTTAAAAACAACAACCCACAATTTCCAGAAGAGGAAATCGAGGATCGAAAAAATTAAATGAAGAGCTCAGTTCACAGCTAGTAAGTGGCAAAGCCAGGCTACCTGACTCCAGATAGAGAGTAGAGAGTGAGAGGTTGGGGGGTATGGATGTGATTATTATCATCCCAACGTGTCCCAGGGCCCAGGTCTCCTGTTGTCTAAATTGCAGGGCCAGACCCTGAATGGCCAGCCTGACTAGACTGGCCAGAGGACATTGCAAGGGGAGCCCACAGTCTTCCAGGTTATTCCATTTGGAACTAGGCCTGTGATGCTGGTCCCCTGATGTCCAACTCACAGAAAGGAAACGATGAGAAACTGGGAAACAGGAAAGATGGGATTTTTGACCTTTGTTCCAAAAAAGATCATCAGTGCCAGCCCCCCATGCCCTTTCCAGCCCTGTGGCATTCACCAGCCCATCTGGCAGTGATCAGAAAAGTTGCTCATCTGCTGAACACTACTGCAGAGGCTAGGCATCATATCTCTTCACTCCCCTTTCCAATCCATAGAAACCCTGTTAGGAAGGTTTCTTTCCTCCTTGACTGAAAGAAAGAAAAAAAAAGTAGAGAACTCTTCCCTGCCTGGAGCACTTTGTCTGGGCAGTTCCTGCCTTTCAGGTGGGTATATCATGCAGTCCACCTGCCTTGCCTCACCTTACCCATCCCAGAGCCTGCCCTCCCAGTGTAGTCCACTCCCCATGCAGTCCTATAGAGAGCAATCCATCTAAAAAACTGAGCTGAACTCATCACTGCTCACTCTCAAACCTCCACTGGCTCCATGCTGCTTTCAGAACCAAATCCAGCTCCTGGGCATGGCCTCTAAACACCTTCACAATCTGGCCTCACTTCCTGCCAGTTCCTGTCCCTCTTCTACTTGCAGGAGAGTCCTTACTTCTGAAAACACTGCATTCTTTGACTTTGACTTCTCCATGCCTTTGCACAGGTTTCTCCTTCAGATTGAGACGCTCATTTCCCACCTTCTCCACTTAACTCAGTTCCTAAAACACTATCAGAGTGCATCTTTCCCCATGTCCTTCCCCTACAGTGTCTTCAAATCCCTGCAAATCTCTCCCCTATGACTTGGAGGCAGAATGGCACAGTGGCCAAGAGCAGGGCTCAAGTGCCCTAATCTGGTCTTAGACAAATGGTGAACCCAGTGCCTCAGTTTCCTCATCTGTAAGATGAGAATGATGAGCACACTAAAGCCACAGGATTATAGGGAGAAGTAGATGAAGCTCAGAATGGTGCCCTCTGCAAACATTAGTTGCTGTTCTCTTATGGTCATAATTACCGTTACTATTACAGCATGCACAATGCTGTTTTAATTATTTATGTGTCTGTCTCCCTAGGCATGCTTGGGGAAACTTCATCTACTTATTCATCTTGGTATTCCTGGCACCCAGAACAGTTCCTGGCAAATTTCCATAAAATCTGTTGAAGGAAGGAAGACACTTCCTCTCCAAATCTGCGTCCCTACCCCTAAGGAGCAGGCATGTGCAGTAGGGTTTGAGTGAGGACCAAACAGTGACTCCAACTTATGGCAACCCCACATGTATCTGAGCAGAACTGTGCTCCACAGGGTTTTCAACAGCTGTTTTTTCAGAAATAGATCACCAGGCCTTTCTTCTGCCTTGCCTCTGGAGAACTCTAACCTCTAACCTTGCAGTTAACTGTGTTAATGGTTTGCATCACCCAGGGACACCCAAGTGAGGTCCAGTCTCCATTTTCTAAGCCTCCCCTCAACATAACCCAGACTTTGGTAACCAGGATGGTGACTCCAGAGCCAAGACCCCCTGCAAAGTCTTGAGGAAAACCCTACAGATGCCAAGTCATTTGGTTTACTTATAGCTAAAAACTAGTCTCAACCTTCTGTGGTGTGCACAGCAGATTGTCCAGCCTGTCCCTCACCAACTTTGCCATCTCTCCAATCATCCCTTCAAGCCCAGACCCTGCTGCCATCTCCGCCCCATCACTTATGACGACCCTCCGTTCTGGTGGTCCAAACTACTACAACACCAAAATTTCTTTATTCCCGTCACTGCTTGGAATGTCAGGAGCCTGCCTCATTGCAGCGCCAATCAAGCCCAAGATCCTCCATTACTGCATGCTCCCCCTACCCGGCTTTGCAAAGACTTTTCGTTTTCTAGCAAGGAACCCTGGTGGTGTTGTAAGATAAGCACAGGGTTGCAGTTCAAACCCACCAGATGCTTCGCGGGAGAAAGGGGAGGCTTTCTATTTCTGTAAAGATTCACAGCCTTGTCGTAGTCAGAATTGGCTCTATGGCAATAGGCTTGGGGTTTTTTTGCCTTTTAACTTGGAGTCCTGGTGTGGCACTGTAGGATAAGCACTTGACTGAAGTGTCAGTTTGAACCACAAGGTCTGTGGTTCAAATCCACCAGCCACTCCTCAGAAACAGTATATGAAACCCTATGCAGGGTGGCTATGAATAGGAACCGAATGGGCGGCACTTAACAACAACACTACTACATTCTAACTTCTTGGGCCAAGATTCCAGTTTTCCATCTCATCTCCATCTCATAAGCCATACCCTGGTCCTGTCTACAGTCCTCTCCCTTTCCTCGCATAGATATGCCCTTCCTAAGGTGTGGCTCTGTGGGTTAATGCTCCAGTCTGCAAAGCCGTTTGAACTGCAAGGTTGGCGGTTCAAGCTCACCAGTTGCTCCTCGGAAGCTCTATACAGGGTCGCTCTGGGTCAGAATTGACTTGACGGCACAACAACAACAAGGTGCCTCCCTCCTACAGGAAGCTCTCCCTAACTCCTCAAGAAATTGCCTGTCCTCCAACTTCTGTTCTCCGTCACTGTTAATAAGGCAGTACTGCTTCTTGAACACTGGGGGCAGTAGAGTTCGTAGGTTACGAGAGTGTGCTGAAATCAAACAGAAATTCAAATCTCAGTTTACTTAATCCTAGTCATGTAACCCTACTGAGCATGTTACTTAACTTCTCTGTGCCTTAGTTTCTTCATCTGCAATACAGTATGGGGATAATAATAGTATCTATCTCATAAGATGGCTGTGAGAATTCAGCAAGCATCCACAAAGGTTAGCATCTACTGTATGCCAACTCACAGAAACCCCAGGTGGTAAATGTTCCCCACATTTACCCATGAGAGAAATTTCAAGTTCTCTTACAAAGGTCAACTTGCTTATGGTCATTACATAAATGAGAGAGGTGACTTTAAATGCAGGCCTAAGTCCATGGCTCGTGCTATTTCAACTGTCTGGGCTTTGATAACATTTCTGCTCTGTTGCTAATGTGTTCGAGAACTCAGCAAAGATAACACACTTTACCATGCAGGCTCCCAGCAGCTTTGCACTGTCTGTTTAGCAGTTCTGACTAATATCCAGCATTGCACACCATAAAAGGATAACACCCCCTCCCATCCTTGAACTTGACTCTCAGTTGTATCAGCAAAGAAAGTTTAGAAGCAAGCAAGAATAAAACTAACTATAAAGCAGACGTGCAAATAACTTTCTAGACCACCTGCCTACCAGGAAGTCTGTTGTTGGTGTTGTTGTGCCATTGAGTCAGACGTATAGGACTCTATGCACAACAGAAAGAAACACTGCCAGGTCCTGAGCCAACCTCACAGGAAGTCTATGAGTGGTCAAGTAAGAAATTGACATTTGGGACCACTTGACAGGAGTTCTGAGGCATGGCCTTAAATGTCCACAACTTTGCTCAATCTACGCATTCCATTTTTCTTTTTTCTGAATTCCCTCACCTGACCCCTCCTCCATTCCCTCTAGCTCAAGCAGAGGTGCCTTTTCCCATCAGTGTCTGCTTAGCAATCTCCTCTCAACTCAGGGACCCATTCCTCGATTCTGCTCCCCACCCAGCTCCCACACACATCCAACAAACACATTCCAACAAACACATTCCTACTACACCACCAGAAAGCCAGACCCAGACTCAGCACACTGCCCTCAGCACCACTACCCCTGCACACTGTCTCCTACTGCCTCAAGTCCCCCCACAGACCAAGGAACAGGTTCACAAAAGAAGATCGATCCTTAAGGGAGCATCAGGTTAAGCCCCAGGACGCCATTATGCAGCAGTTAAACAACAGAAATCCTTGAAGAGACTGCAGATCAATCCATCCTCTGTCCCCACCCCCATCCAGGTTCACTTCCCAGGGAAATGCAAAAAGGAAAAAAAATATATATATATCACCTCCCTTGGCAATTTTCACCCCCAAGCAAGACTCAGACCCCCTAACCCAACATTTCTGTGGCCCAAGTAATAGCAGTGTTAATTAAGTTCTCCACAATGTCTGACCCCGGTCCTCAGGCATCTCCCTTTCCAAGGACACAGAAGGGAAGCTCAACAACATCTCATTTCTGTCCGTCATCCCCATCCTCTTCCAGCTGTGACTATATTTCTGAAGCCTAGAGAGCATGCAGATGTGCAGTCTAACTTACCCAAAGAGAAAAAGAGACTGAGCCCCGTGAGACTGAAGACAGGGCGAGGTAGCCAGGCATCTCTGTGCATTTTCAGAGACTGAGATGTCAGTAGGGTGGGGTATGGGAGAGGCTGATTTGAGGGGCTGAGGGCTACAAGGGAGGAAGAGTTAGATGCTATTAAAAAAAAAAAAAAATGCACGGATGTACTTCAAAGACATATATAACAACAAGGAAGCTTTATTTCCATCTCTCTAATATGGCCGGCTACTGAGTTGCTGCTAAAAGGAGAGACAGTGAGAGAGAGTATCTGAGAGAGTAAGGGAAAGAAAAAGAGGGATGGAGTAAATTTTGTGGTTGATGGATTTCAAAAAGTATGTGGGAGGGCATAAATAAATATCTTTCTGAAAAGAAATTTTTATTCTCCAAAACAAGAACTAAAGACAATCTGCCCTTCTCCACTAGAATAATTGTTGGCTTTTGAACAAAATCTATTTCTTCTTGTATGTTGTAAGGGGAGGACTTTGTCATTTAAAAATTCGAGGGGGGGGCGGAGGGGCGGGGGGGAGAAGAGGCTTGTTTTTGTTATTTGGAAAGAGTTCAGGGAAGTAACCTGTGGAAACTTTCAGGAACTAAGGGCTTCCTCATTGTTCAAGCAGGTTCGCAGAAAACAGAAGTCAAATAAAAACAAAATTGCTGTCAAGTTGATTTCAGCTCAGCAACGTTATAGAACAGAGTAAAATGACCCAGAACATCTCCAAGGCTGTAAACTTTACGCAAACAGACTGCCACATCTTTCCCTTCAGAGTGGAGTGGCTGGTAGGTTCCACCCACCAACCTTTCATTAGCACCCAACGTTAATCACCAAGGGTCCATCGTATTAATTTTTGTTGTTATTAAGTGTCATAGAGTCAGTCATAGCAACCCTATATAGGGTTTCCAAGGAGCAATTGTTGAGCTTGAACTGCCAACCTTGTGGTTCAAACAGACTTTGCAGCCCAGCACACTAATGAGGCTTTCTTAATTGTGTTGCGTGTAATTTTAAAAGCATACTGTTTTAAACATTTTTATCTGTTAAGAGATACACACTGAAGTGTTTATAGGTAAAATAATATGACTGAAATTTGCTTTAAAGAATATGAGGGAAAAGGGGGTAGTAGGGAGCAGGTCAGAGTTCTGGTGTGTCACTGCAGGATAATGCTCTGGACCACAAGGTCAGAGGTTCAAACCCACTAGTCACTCCTCGGAAACCCTATACAGGGTTGCTATGAGTCAAAATGGACTCAACAGCACTTAACAACAACAACAAGGGAGTAGTAGGTCAACGAGACTGTTGACTTTTAAGCTAGTGATGGATAGAGAGTTATGAGGGTATTCATTGTACAGTTTTCTCTAGTTTTATGTATGTTTGAACTTTTTTTCTTTCGAAAGAAAAATATAGGTTAGTGTCACCAGTAAGAGAACTTGGGACAGAATACCAAGTATGTTCTCAGTAACATACGTTCTCAGACAATAATCACATGCCTTTGTCATTGATGGGCCATTCATGCTCCAAAAAAGGGGACAAGACTTTTAAAAGTGTTGAAGAGCAAAGATGTCAATTTGAGGACTAAGGTGCACCTGGCCCAAGCCATGGTATTTTCAATAACCTAATATGCATGTGAAAGTTGAACAGTGAATAAGGGAGACCATAGAAAAATTGATGCATTAGAGTTATGGTGTTGGAGGAGAATATTAAAAGTACCATGGATTGTCAAAAGAACAAACTAATCTGTGTTGGAAGACGTACATCCAGAGTGCTCCTTAGAAGCCAGGATGGCCTGACTTCATCTTTCATACTTCAGACATATTATCAGGAGGGACCAGTAACTAGAGAAGAATATCATGTTAGGTAAAGTGAAGGGTTGGAGAAAAAAAGGAAAACCCTCAACAAGATGGATTGGCACAGAAGCAGCAGCGATGGGCTCAGGCGTAGCAACAATTGTGAGGTTGGCACAAGATGGGGCAGTGTTTTGTTCTATTATGCGTAGGGTCACTATGAGTCAGTACCGATTTGATGGCACCTAACAACAGCAAGTATTTTTTTTTTAATGTTTTATTGTGAATTATGTGATAGTTTACATGGGAGAACATTAGTTTATACAATCCCCTCAATGCATCATCAACCAACCAAAGGGTATACCCTGCAAGCTTGCCCCCCAATCCCCACCCCGGTCGTCAGCACACAGCCCCTCTCCCTCTCCAGGTCTAAAGTTCCCAGCTGCTCCATCTTTCCACATCATTGTCTCTGCCTCCATCTCTGGCATCACTGCTTTTCTGGGTAGGGTCCCCGCTCTCCGCTCTTCTCTCTTCATGGTCCCAGGGACCTCTGCTCCTAGACTGCAAAGTCAATCACTCCCCTCCTTGCTACAAAATGTCTATCTGTACATTTCCAACCCTCACAATCAGTCCTGATGACAATTATTCACCATTGTATCACAAGAGACCTATCCACATTTCCTTTCATCAGCCCCACCTAGACAGATTGGATACTACCTTTCTCCATTCCCTTTGGATCTAGGTTCCCTCTTGAAAGCTTGTAAACCAGTCACTTCTTGCCTTTGTAGCCACCACACACACACACACACACACACACACACACTTTGGGTAGCCAATGTCCAAGTTGCCCATCCCTGTCTACTCTGTGTATGGATGGGATGGGAATGATCCTCGCTGTAAAGATTTGTTCCCTCGTTTGAGCTACTAGATCCGTAAGTGTAGGTCAAGTTCATCAAATTGTATCAGATTACTCTTTTTTTCCTCTTCTTTCTTCTTCTAGTTGAGCTCTGATTATCCAGTCATTGAAGGCAGGTCAAGTGGGTATTATCTGCAAGTGTGGGTGTTCTTGTGCATATGCCCTCTCTTCTTATCAGCTGGATGCTTCACTCTCCACTCTAATCCTCTGTGGCTATGTCACTGACTCTGGGCCCAAGAGTCCCCAGGTCTTGCCACACTGCTGGCCAAACAGCAAGTATTTTTGAGCATTAACTCTGGGCCAAACACTTTACATGTGACACTTCACTTAACCTTACCAGCCCTTGTTGTTAGCTGCCTTCAAGTTGATCCCAACTCATGGCAACCCCATACACAGCAGAATGAATTGCTGTCCAGTCATGTGCCATAATTGGTTGTAGATTACACGTATCATAGGGTTTTCACTGGCTGATTTTCAGGACTAGATCAATAGGCCTTTCTTCCTACTCAGTCTTAGTCTGGAAGCTCCACTAAAACCTATTGAATTGTCACAGCAACATGTAAGCTTCCACTGACAGGTGATAGCTGCACATGAGAGGCATGAGTTGGGAATTGAACCTAAGTCTCCCGCATGGAAGGTAAGAATTCTACCACTGATCCACAGCTACCTTCATTTAATAGGAGCCCTGGTGGAGCTCTAGGATAAGCACTGGACTACTACTGGCCACAGGATTCCTGGTGTGGATCTGTGGGTTAATGAGCCAAACTTCAAAGCCATTTGAACTGCAAGGTTGGCAGATCAAGCTCACCAGCTACTCCTTGGAAACTATACAGGGTCGCTATGGGTCGGAATCGACTCAACAGCACTTTGCAACAATAACAACATCTACTAATCACAAGGTTGCCCACTCAAACCCACCAGTGGGTCCTCAGGAGAAAGATTTGGCTGTCTGCGCCTGTGAAGATTTACAGTCTCAGAAACCCTATTGTTGTTATTGTTAGGTGAAATTGAGTCAGTATCGACTCATAGTAACCACATGCACAACAGAATGAAACACTGCCCAGTCCTGCACCAATCTCACAATCATTGCTGCCCTTGAGCCCATGGCTGCTGCCATTGTGACAATCCATTTCATCAGGGTTCTTCCTCTTCTTCGCTGACCTTTCACTTTACCACACATGATATCCTTCTCCATGCACAGGTCCCTCCTGACAATATGTCCGAAGTATGAGAGACAAAATCTGGCCAACCTGGCTTCCAAGGAGCACTCTGGCTGTACATCTTCCAAAACAGATTGGTTTGTTCTTTTGGCAGACTATGGTACTTTTAATATTCTCCTCCAACACCAGAATTCAAATACATCAATTCTTCTAAGGTCTTCCTTATTCATTATCCAACTTTCATATGTGTATGAGGCTATTGAAAATATCATAACTTGGATAAGGAGCATCTTAGTCCTCAAACTGACATTTTTGCTCTGCAACACTTTAAACAGGTCTTGTGCAGCAGGTTTGCTGCTTCCATGAGTGTTGATGGTTGATCCCAGCAAAATGAAGTCTTTGACAGCAACATTTTTTTCTCCATATATCATGATGCTATTTACTGGTCCAAATGGTGAGGATTTTTGTTTTCTTCACACTGAGGTGCGACCCTTACCAAAGGCTGTGATCTTCAATCTTCATCAGTAAGTATTGTAAGATCCCCTTCGCTTTCAGTAAACAAAGTTGTAACATCTGCATATCGTAGACTGTTAATGAGTCTTCTTCCAATCCTGATGCTACATTCTTCTTCATATAACCCAGCTTTTTGGATTATTTTCTCAGCAAACAGATTGAATCAGTATGGTGAAAGAATATAACCCAGGCACACACCGTTCCTGATTTTAAACCATTCAATGTCCCCTTGTTCTGTCAAACAACTACCCTTTGGTCTATGTACAGGTTTGTCATGAGCACAGTTAAGTGTTCCAGAATACTCATTCTCCACAATGCTATCCATAGTTTATCATGATCGACACAATCAAAAGTCTTTACATAGTCAATAAAGCACAGGTAAACATCTTTATGTAATTCAGTTTTCAGCCACGATCCATCTTACATCAGCAATATGATATCCCTCATTCTGCATCCTCATCTGAATCTGGCTTGAACCTCTGGAAGCTTCCTATCAATTAAAAAGCTGCTACAGCCAATTTTAAATCATCTTAAACAAAATTTTGCTTACATGTGATATTGTCTGATGATTTCTGCATTTCACTTAGTCACCTCTATTTGAAATGGGCACAAGTATGGATCTCTACCAATTTTCCAAATTTCTTGGCATAAATAAATGAGTGCCTCCACTGCTGCCTCAGTTTGTTGAAAGGTTTCTGTTTGTATTCCATCAATTCCCAGAGACTTGTTCTTTGCCAATGGCCTTCAGTTTACCTTGGGCTTCTTAGTATCATTGGCTCTTGGTCATATGCTGCCTCTTGAAATGGGTGAATATCTACAATTTCTTTTTTGTACAGTGACTCTTCTTTTCCTTCCATCTTCT